ATTGTTTATGGATGAGGGATATGACGGCAGTGGAGAAGACAGACAGACAGAGAAGCAGGTGGGCAGCAAGAGATGAAACCACAGAAACAGGCTGTAGGCCAGGGCTGTCATCCGAGCAGCTGGCAGGGGAGGCGGGTTCAAAGGTGCCAGACTTAGGCATACAGGCCATTAAGATGATACGGCAGCAATACAGATGAATGGATTGGAGGGAATGAGAAGGCTTAAGGGGACAGATAAAAGACACCGTGGCATCTGCATGGATTTGGGCTCTGCTGCCTCCCTTCACCTCCTATTTCACAGGCCCAGATGTTCCACACGCATATGCTCCAACTGGCTGTGCCTTGCCAGACCTGCCCCGTCTATTCCGTTAATGACATCACCATCTACTCTCAAGCCAGAAACATCCCTCTTGGTTTGGGTTCAATTTTATTTAGCTCCAAAGTAATTACATTCAATTGCTTCCCCCTTTTTTCATGTCCACTATCCTCGTATGGGCAAATATTATCTCTCTATAATTCTTCCTATTTTAGTTTTGTCTTTGGTCTTAAACTGTCAAACTGGTGATCAAGTAAGAGGGTCATTTTTCTAAAATTAATTCTCCTTATCTCTACTTAAATGACTTCAGAAATATGGTTCTCTTTTTAGAATTGTACCTATGAAATACATGAAATCTGTTCTCTTTAATTTTTTTTTTTCAAATAAGGGGTCTTTTTAAAAGATTTTTTTTTAATTTATTTTAAAGGAAAGGCAGAGTTATATAGAGAGAGGGAGAGACAAAGAGAGAGAAATCTTTCATCCATTGGTTCTCTCCCCAAATGGCTGCAATAGGCAAGGCTGGGCCAGACTGAAGCCAGGAGCCTGGAGTTCCCTTTGGATCTCCCACATGGGTACAGAGGCCCAAGGATGTGGACTATGCTCCACTGCTTTCCCAGGTGCATAAGCAGTAGCTGGGGCTTGAACTGGTGCCTATATGGGATGCCTGCATCACAGGCAGCAGCTTTACCTGCTATGACATAATACCACCCCCTGTTTCTCTTTATATTAATCAAAATTTTAAAAAAAGAAATTCTTCATTGCTTTTAGGTTCAAAACAAACACCTTAATGTGACTTAAACTATCCTTAATAAACTAGGCCCCCACTGGGTCTCAAGGCATGATGGTATCTGCAGCTCCCCCTCTTCACCACACTATTCTAGTTTGGCTCCCCAAACAAAGCACCTGCCACTATGCATTTGCTCATGGTTCCCTCCACTTGCAGTGCTCTCTCTGGGTTCTTCACTTTACCTTGTTTACAGGTAATACCCAACAGCTCTTAGCCTACATGTCACTTCCTCCTGGAAGCTCTCCTGGCCTGACACCTATGTGCTGGCGACTCTTTGCTGTACCGCTAGGAACACAAGCCCCAGTCAAGTACATTCTCAGTGACTTGGAAGCTGCCAGGTATGTATCTCTTCACTCACTCCCTTTCTATCCCTAGACAGTAAATTCCTCCATCACAGGACTCATGAGCAACCTGTTCCTTGAGGGTCCCCATCAACCGAGCTCATTGCTGGGCATTTGAGAATTGCTCAGGAAACATGCTGCAGCCTGAATGAGACAAGTGAAGGTCCAGGGTCCCGGGAGTCATGGGCACTTGAGGAGCAGGTAGAGGAAGAGAAGAGGGAGGGAGAAATTAAGAGCTAGAGGCAACTCTCAAGCTGAGAACCAAGCAGACAGCACCAGCTGTGAGGCCAGAAGAGAGGACCGACTGCTAGAAATAGCATCAAGTGCCAACTGGGGGGCAGAGAGCAGGAAGGACGGCAGAGCTTTTGCAAAGTGATGGGTATGAGGCATGGACAAGAAAATAGCAGAAAAGTTAGAGTACAGGATCAGAAGACAGCTCGCAAACACAGACACAAAGTGGTTGTGGGAATGTGATCCCTGAGGGAATGTGGAAGTGTCATGGGCAAAGAGAACATCTGTGGATGAATGATGTGTGTGCAGGAACAATGTGTGTACACGAATGTGTGTCTGTGCATGAATAATATGTGTGTACAAGAACTATGTGCATGAGTGTGTGTGTGTAGAAACAATGTGTGTGTGCATGAACTATGTCTATGCATGAGTGTGTGTGTGTGCAGGAACAATGTGTGTGCATGAATGTGTGTGTATGAATGTTTGTGCATGAACAATGTGTGTGCATGAACTATGTGCATGAGTGTGTGTCTGTGGATGAACAATGTGTGTGTACAGGAACCATGTCTATGCATGAGTGTGTGTGTGTGCATGAATGTGTGTGCATGATGTGTGTCTGTGCACGAACAGTATGTGTGTACATGAACTATGTCTGTGCATGAGTGTGTGTGTGTGTGTGTGTGCAGGAACAATGTGTGTGCATGAAAGTATATGCATGAATGTGTGTGTGTGTACATACAGGAACAATGTGTGTGTACAGGAACTGTCTATGCATGAGTGTGTGTGTGTGTGCATGAGCAATGTGTGTATGCATGAACTATGAGCATGAACAATGTGTGTGTGCAGGAACAATGTGTGTGCATGAATGTGTGTGCACTTGAATGTAAACTTTAAGAAATGAATCCTGCTCTATGTTTCAGAAGTTTTCAGTAAGCTCATTGATCAAAATGTGATCTGCTGAGGCTGGGTTGTGGTATAGCACTTTGGACCAGCACCTATGACACTGGCATCCCACTGGTTTCAGTCCTGGCTGCTGCAATTCTGATCCTGCTCCCTGCTAGTGTACCTAGGAAAGCAGCAGAGGATAGTCCAAGTCCTTGGGCTCCTGCAACTTATGTGGAAAACCCAGATGAATCTCTTGGCTTTGGTCTGGCCCAGCCCTGGCCATTGCGGCCATTTGGTGAGTGAACCAGTGGATGGAAGATCTCTTCTCTCCCTCTTGCTCTCTCCATAACTCTTTCAAACAAACAAACAAAGTTTTTAAAGAATGTCTGGGATCACTATTTTCACCATTATTGCACTACTGCTGGGGCATCTCTTATCATAGTAACCACAAAACTTCCTCACACAAAGCCTCAGACTGCGTATAAAATCCACTAAACCTGCCCATTCATGTAAACAGCTTAACTGTACATTGAGTAGTTAATGCCTGAGTCAGATGCCACACAGAAAACATCAGGGAAAGGATGGGTTTGAGAAAACAAGACCTGTTAGGTACACATCTAAGCAAAAAAGAAATGTGCATATGGACAAAAAAAGGCCACACATTTCTTTACAAATGGGCTTTCCTAATAAGTCCCTCTCAGATATAAAACTCTATATCAGGTTACCATGGTAGTAATTTCACTTATAACAATTTAGAGAATGCATTGAGGGCAACAAACTCCAAACATTAAATAATTTTTCAGGAGACATATGCTTCTTATGTAATTAACAATATATGCAGCACAAATAAGCTCTAATTTTAGAAACATTCATTTGCAAACATTAATCAGCTAATGGTAAATTCAATTTCTACTTGGCTTCTCCTTTTCACACTCATTTCTTCAAGAGTCTACAAAACACTAACTTAGGTACTATGAAACAAGATTACATTCCTAGAAAATGTTTGTATAATAAGCATATACATCAAATCAAAGTTTTATGAAAAACCTTACGGAGGACTGCATTTCTGATGAAGCTCTTGATTCCAAATCTTTCAGAAAAGGAACTATAAAATTTTCTAAGTAATGAAATTGCAAACAATATTTCAGAATAGGTCAAAGCTTCCCAAATTGCATAGATAGAAAAATACATATTGCCTGCAGAGAGTTTGGAGACCTGGCATAGCTTTATACAAGGAGACACTGCCGAATGGGACCACTGTTCACTTTGCAGACTGCCCAATATATTCTAGGTTTTGGCCAGCAGGGCCCTATCTAGGCATGGTAACAATCAAAGAAATGCACCCAAATGCTTCCCAATGCCTCCTGCAGGAACAGTGTCCCAGCTGAGAGCCATCAAGTCTCCCTCATTTATGGAAGAAACTTTAGACCAGACAAAATGAACTGACCAAATTTAGATCACTAGTTACTAATACTGCCAAGTCTTGAACCCAGGTCTCCAAGAAGTGAGTGCCACACTGAGAATCTTGCAGATAAAGAGTAATGAACCTGCTCTTACTCATATTTTAAGGTCAGCCTTGCTCTTCCTGCTTCAGGTCATTTGTCCAGGAAACACTCTCTAAGCTTCGATCCAGCCATCATGTAAAGCATTTGCCTATTCCCCTGTCCCATTGATTCCTACCCTCCCAACCCACCCTGCCCCAAGTCTCAGTTAAGGATCTGGGCTCAGGAGAGAGGAATTAGCACAAGCCCAAGGCTCTGATTAAGCAGCCTGGACCGGTGAGCCTTCCACGTCACTGTCATCTCAGGCCCTGCCTCTCTCACCCTTTGGTTTCTCCACCCCAGCACGGCTGGGTCAGCAGCTACCACCTTCTATCTCAGACACAACAGAGGCCTCCCCTTCCTCTGCCCCACCCACAAACCAATCTAATTAAGGAACTGGGGTCTGTCAGGTCAGTTATGAAATGTGAGAAGATATTTCTCTTCCTCCTATCTAGCTCCTTCCTTGTGTTTAACTTACTGTACTTCCAGCAATAGATGGGACAGAAAGAGTTCACTGGACAGAATACTGGGTCTTATTCCTACTTTGAGGATAAGTCTAAAAAGGCTTCGACTACATCTGAGGCTGGGAAAGTTGTGGGCTGACAGTTCATTTCTGTTCCTTATTTAAGAGTTTTGTCATAATTTAATGTTGAACTATAAAAATGCTTTGCCAGTACCTACTATATTTTTCTTAAACGTCATGTGGAGAAAATTTAAGTTAAAAATCCCTATGTTAATCATGCTGATCAATTTCAGTTAATTATATTTTTGTAGTGTACTGATTGATGAAAGCCAAAAATCTGGGGCCACTTGTCTGAAGGTAATCCTTCCATATTTGTAAGTTTGAAATTAAGAGTCAGTAGGAAACCTACAATATTGGAAAAGGGCCTGGGTGCTTACCCGGATGTAGGCATCTTGGTGGTGTTTAGCAAAGTACAGCATGTTGTCCAGAGCCAACATTCCAGGAGGAGTCTGGGTGAAGTCCATGGCCGGGTTGACGTGATTCTGTGATTGAAGCAAATGTTTGACAAGGTTAATTCTTCAGCAGACATCACCAGCTGTCAAGCACCTTGTTTCCCTACAAAAACCACAGAGCAAATTCCAGTTAGTGAAGTACAAACATGTTTTCCACCTCCCCGGAAAGCTATGGGTTGGGACAGAAACTTCTGTCTATAGCTCTCAGGCTCTGCAAAAGCAGCTTTTAGACCTCGGGTTAGGAAGGCCATCTGGAGATCAAAATGTAGAATTTTTCTTAAACATGTGATGTGATGAGAGAAAGAAAATAACATAAAAGTTGTATTTGTGGTGGCTACACTGAAGTGACACCAGTGGCATTTAGTAAGAAAGACCTGGGATGAAGTCACCTATGCTGTGTAACACAGAAGCTGGATCCAAGGAAGCCATTACCTGTTCTTCCTCATCCTCACACATAGCCTGGGCACACTTACCATCAGGCTCTGTAAACTACTAGGGTCACACAGACACTGGATACAAGTTAGATGTCTACAGGATCCTAACAAGCTCACTGTGTCTAGCCTTCTGGTCAACCACTCAATAGCACAAAGAACCCAAACAATGAAACACAGTTGCAAAAATGCCTAACAGAGGAGGAGACCTGGCTGATATAAATTCCCCATATGCTTGAAATCCCTCAGGAAACTCCAGGAGACTCATTCAGAGCTGAAAATCAATCTCCACCCTCAATCACCAAACACAATCACCAGAATGGTCCTGAAAATCCAAATACAAATGGTGGATAACCGAAGGGAAGACACGGTTGAGTGTTCATGTTAAAGAGATGAAAAAAAAATGTTAATGATAGTGCACTATTGGCCTATGGAAACAAAACTAATTTTGTGTGTTGATTTTTGTGTCCTGTGCCTTTTGCGAGTTTGTTTATTAGTTGTTATTACTTCTTTAGTAGCATCCTTAGGGTTTTGTACATATAAGATAAGGGACATCCAATTTGGATGCCTTTAATTTCTTTCTCTCACCTAAATGCCCTGGCAAGGGCTTCCAGTACTAAGCTGAATTAGAGGTGGTGAGTGTGGGCATCTTTGTCTTGCTCCACCACAAAAATGATGACTGGAAAAGCAAAGGAAATGCACTTGCTAATTAGCTAGATTTAACCATTGTGCATATATCCTCCAAAATAACATGTTGTAAACAAAACAAAATCACAGAATATTATTTGTTAACATAAAAAATTTTAATTAAAATGTTAAAGAATTCAAGAAAAGGGCTCTTACTTCATGATCCAGATAATTTACATGAAATGACATATTTTCTTTTTGATCTCAGATTTTTTTTAATATACAACTCAAATTTCTGTTTTGCTGGGGAAATTTTGGCGAAGTGTTTTTTGTTTTTCTAATTCTGGTACAGGAAGGGCTCTTTGTACACTTGTTCAAGGTTCAAACAACCCACATTCTATTACATTATTCAAGAGGACATCTAAACTGTCTTTCCCAGGAGGATGTGAAATGTTGTTTATAAGCTAATAAACAACATTTAAAATAATGAGAACAGGCTGCCTACTGACTAGAATTCCACTTCTGAGGATATCTTCGTCCATATTTATTGGGTCGGTTGTGTCACTGCAATGATTTCAATATTTTATTTATCATTTTCTCCTGAGTAGTGTGGGTTTTTTAAATAGAAAACTTTTATTTAATGAATTTCGAAAGTACAACTTTTAGATTATAGTGGTTTTCCCCCCATAACCACCCTCCCACTACAAACCATCTCATCACCTTCTCCCTCTCTCATCCCATTCTTCATTAATATTCATTTTTAATTATCTTTATATACAGGAGTTCAACTCTATACTAAGTAAAGATTTCAGCAGTTTGCACCCACGCAGACACACAAAGTATAAAGTACTGTTTGAAGACTAGTTTTGCCGTTAATTCTCATAGTACAACACATTAAGGACAGAGGTCTTACATGGGGAGCAAGTGCACAGTGACTCTTGTTGATTTAACAATTGGCACTCTTATTTATGATGTCAGTAATCACCTGAAGCTCTTGTCATGAGCTGCCAAGGCTATGAAAGCCTCTTGAGTTCACCAACTCTGATCTTATTTAGACAAGGCCACAGTCAAAGTGGAAGTTCTCTCCTCTCTTCAGAGAAAGGTACCTCCTTCTTTGATGGCCCGTTCTTTCCACCGGGATCTCACTCAAAGAGATCTTTCATTTAGGTCAGTTTTTGCCGTGTCTTGGCTTTCCATGCCTGAAATACTCTCATGGACTTTTTAGCCAGATCCAAATGTCTTAAGGACTGATTCTGAGGCCAGAGTGCTGTTTAGGGCATTTGTCTGCTGTGTATCCCGATTCCCATGTTGGATCATTCTCTCCTTTTTAATTCTATCAATTATTATTAGCAGACACTGGTCTTATTTAGGTGATCCCTTTGACACTTAATCCTATCTTTATGATCAGTTATGAACTGAAACTGATCACTTTAACTAGTAAGATGGCATTGGTACCTGCCAACTTAATGAGATTTGGGGTTCCATAGCAAGTTTTTAGCTTTACCCTTAGGGTAAGTCTGAGGGAGCATGTGCTGACCTGTACATCTCCTCCCTCTGAGTAGTGTGTTAAAATGTTGATAAGTTTTTAAAATATCAAAGTACTTCTAATGAAAAGGAAGATATGTCTCATAGAATAAATATATCTAACAAAAATAAAAATTATTCAGCATGCTAAATGCAGCAGGGCTGTCTTACTTTGATAGTCAATGGAGTAAGGAGATCCAACGACTCTTCAACAGTGGGAGAAAAGAAAGAATTCAAAATGTTGGAAATAAATGAACGGAGATTTAGTCTAAAATGTAACTTGTAATTAAAGGTTATATAATAATTTAGTTATTTAGGAAAGAATAGTGGAATCCCCATCCCATTATACATAAAATTATTACTTTGAGTTTAATTATTTTCAGGAAGATAACTAAGAAGAAAAGTTACTTCTTGCTGAGTACTTTCCAGGTGCTAGCACTAACTTGCACCTTGCATCCAGTTGTCTCAGAGCCTATCGGTGTAGTTACGGCAGGTACTATTATCCCCATTTTATTGAAGAGGAAACTGCTCTGATGAATTCAGAACCTTGCCCAGGCCTCTACAATTTGGTTTTTGAAGGGTGTCTTCTTTGAACAATATGTCTCCACAATCTTGCATCCCTAAATTTTTTTCTTACCAGCAGTACAGAAGTTGAATGCGTTTATTTTGGTACTTGCTAACATTTAAACTTTACATGCACTGAGAAAAGTTTATTTCAGAAAAATGTAGGCTAATCAATATTGGCTGCCATGCAGCATGGGCCAGCCAACAAAAGCGAGTGAGTCAAACATAAAAGAGAAAAACATGTCACTGATTTCAGACCTATTTCTAGCACTGCTCTATGAGTCTATTCCAAAAATAAATGAACAAAAAAGGAAATCAAGTGAGAATTATTTTTTCTGAATCTAATTCAAACAACCTTCCAAAGAGATGCTTTAGTGAAGCTGACCAGAAAAAAATATCCCCACGGCTTAAAAGTCATCAGTCTTGTTTAAATTTTGCACCGAGATTCCCTTGAAGCCCCTATCAATCAATCAGCCTCCTCCTCAGGCACCTAGTAGGGCTATCAAATAGGACACTATTGATTTCAGAAGATCATTTCAGCTGAGAAACAATATAGAGTCTTCCCTCTGTAGCTGCAGGGATTGGTTCCAGACCCCTCTGGACAACCAACTCATACCCTCCACAGACTTTAAATCATTGCTAGGTTACTTATGATGCTTGATCCAATGTCAAGGACATACAAATAACATTTATACTATATTGTTTAGGGAATTATGACAAGAAAAAAGTCTGCATATACTCAGTGGAGATGCACATTTTTTAGAAAATATTGTTGGTCTGCAATTGGTTGTATTTGTGAATGAAGAACCTGAGGATACAGAGACCAACTATAATTGATCTTCAGGGTTCCTTGAAAGAACCATATAGCTACTTAGCACACAGCACCAATAACATAATGCCTACCATGTGCCAGACACTGTGCAAAGTGCCTTGGACACTCCAGCTCTTCATCCTCACAGACTCCCCCAGCAGATAGATGCTGTCATTATCTTTCTTTTACAGGAAGGGCACTGAGGCACTGAGTTTCAGTTGTTTGTCTAAAGTTCCAGAGCCACCATGTGGCAGAGCCAGAATGTGAACTCAGAACACGGGTTTTGAACTAGAATTTTGTACTGTCACCTTGCTGAGCAATCTGGCAACGCTGGAAATCCAATGCAGGACCCTAATTGGTCCTATTCTCACCACTCAGTATCATTCCCTCAGGCAGAACAGGCCCGTGATCCATTCTTTTCCATACAAGCTATAATGTCTCCATCCCTCCCAGACACTGTAACAGACCAACGTTTCTCTCATGTTCAATAAACCATGTCCTAATTGCCACCAACAAATAGGCTCTTACTAAACAAACTTTGATTTGCATTGATTTGCCCTAAATTATTAAGCATCGCTACATTTTAGATGAAAAAAGATTTTGTAATGCAAGGTGAACTGTGCTTTTCATTTTTTTCCCTCTTTTCTTAACTCCAGGTATCATTTTCTTAGCCTCTCTCTCCTGCAAATGACTGTTTTCTTCTTTTGGTTTTAATGACCAGTAAAATAAGTTTACAAGCAGAGCTACTGATAACAGGAAAAGAAACATTTGAAAGCTTTCTGTACTGTGACAAAAATACTCTGAGAACCTGGCAAGGCCGAGAGCTCCCCCACTCCTTTCTTATTTATGAGATGCTCAGGGTACAGATTTATTTTCTTTTCCTGTACCATGTTATTTTTTTCCACCTGTCTTGAAATGGGAGCTGCAAGAGCTTTGATAAATAGCTTGAAATTTCCCCTTGTTTTACTGCAGAGCCCGTGTAGCTTGCACCTTCGTCTGAAACGTCATTTGTTAGATCCTGTAGCAGAGCCGCTCGGTGACACAGCAGACAGCTCTCAGCCCCTGGAGAAAGC